TTGCCAAGTTGCCCAAGTGGGTCTCAAACCCGCGGGCTCAGGCAATCCACTCACCTCAGCTTCCCAAAGCACTGGGATTACAGACTGAGCCACCGAGTCTGGCTAACAAATATTCTTATACATGCCTCCTTAAGCATGCATAACATGGGCATAAGTTTCATGGGGAAGTTACTGAGAATTTCTGGGACATAATGTATGCATATTTTGAATTCCATATTTTCATATGTATTGACAAATTTCCCTATAAAATGGTAGAAGCAGCTTCCACTTCCACTTGAGATGCATGAGAGTATACCATTTCCCTACATTGATGTTTTTATATTTTACCCAATTTGTGATGGTCCTACATGTGAAGGAGTACTATATCTCATTATTGTCACCATCTGAATTCTTATTATTATAAAAGTCAACACTTATTGTTTCTTATCTTACATACATTAAGAAGTTATAGTCTGCTTGTGTTACCAATTTTTGCATATAAAACAGCCTCTTCCATTACTGTGCATTTTGTAAGGGTGGAGATCTCCCTGTCACCTAAAATAGAACATAACAGATGCTCAGTAAAGGCTGTTGATTCGTTGAATGGAGACTGCAACGTTGTGAGATGAAATGTATTCCCAACAAGAAACAGGTCAGTGGGAACATGCCTGTCTGTTCTGGAGGATGCTCTTTTGGTTTCCTTCCCCTAGCTTTAGCCAAGTGACCCTAGAGAAACTCACCATCATCCACAGGATAGTCCAGGAAATCATCTCCCTCCTCCTCTTTAGGCCGATCTCCACCTTCTGATTCCCCGGGCTCCTCATCTGTGTTCTCATTCTCTGAGCGGTAGATGATGATGGATTCTGGGCGGGATTCTTTCCTTTTCTTTTTCCTGCGACCCATCGTAGATTCCCCATCCAAGGCCAGGGCAGCTGCCACAGCCTTTCTCAGAGAGCCATGGTGGGGGCTTGGAAGCTGGCTCTGGCCTTCCATTGGTGCCGGCTCTTCCATCTCAATCCTGATGTCTATTAAGGCGTTATAAAGAGTCACTCGCTTGAGCAAACTCACGGTCCACCCATCACAGAGCTCCTTCCTGGATGGGGCAGTGCAAAGATGTCCCAAGGATGTGTTCCACCTGACAGATAGGAAAGTGAAAACATCAACAGGAGATGAAGAGGGATGTGGGAAATGATCCTCAACATGGCAGAAGACTTCCTCTCCCTTATTTATTTATTTTTTGAGTTGGAGTCTCACTCTGTCGCCCAGACTGGAGTGCAG